ATCCAGTAAAATTCACTGACCATTTAAGGAGCACATTAGTCAGAGAAGCAACCTAGAGGGTGATGGTAACTCTGAGGGCATTGGAGAGTTCCTTAGTTGAGATGGGAGAAACACTCCATCGGACAACTTTCACCCAGATGCTCCATAGAGTTGGGTTTTATGGAAGTGGAGGAGGAGAAGAACGCCTTTGCAGAAACAAATCCATATCAAAGGCCACTTGGAGTTAGCAAAAAAGCATGCTGAAAAACAAAAACATGCTGCACAGTATTCTCTGGGCTGATGAGACCAAAACTGAACATTTTGGCCCTGCTCCATGCCATGTGTGACACAGTCAACGGTGAAGTACGGGGACAGATTCACCTCGATGCTTTTCCTAGAGAGGGACTGAGAAACAGATCAGGGTTGAGGACAACATGGAGAGAGCCCAGCACAGGGCAATGCAGATGAAAACCTGTTTCATTCTTCAAGGGACCTGGGACTGGGGCAGCAGTTCACCTTCTAGGGCGATAAGAGACCAAGGACCTTAAACAGACGGCCTAAGTAACACTGGAGTGGTTTCAGAATAAGAACCCAAATATTTTAGAATGACCCCTTCAGAACCCAGATCTTGGATTAAGTTCTGGGGCAAGACTTGCAAGTTGCTGTTCTCCAGTGGTCCTCATCCCACCTGACAGAGCTGGAGCAGTCTTGCCAGGGAGAAAGGGCCATCTTTGCAGGATGCAGATGTGCAAAACGGAGAGACTTAACTAAGACTCATTGCTGTAATTGCTGCCAAAACAGTCTCTACCAAGTATTAACTCAAAGGGATGAGCAACAAGTACTAGTTTGGCTTTGGTTTTGTTTACTTAACTTGCGTGCCACAGTAAAAAAAAAAAAAAAAAACCTTGCACCTTCACAGTGTCAAGTATCCTATGTATATCAAGTTGGATCGACGCCGATTAATTCCACCTCATTTCCAGTCCATAGCACAACACACTGTGGAAAAGTCAAAGCGGGTGAGGGGAAGATGAATATTTGTGCAAGACGTGGTTATGCATGTGTGCATACATGCATGTGCCTGTCGCTGTAGTCCAGGAAGACTTATTACTCAGTAAATCTGTTGGTCTTGGAAAGTGGCCAAATCTTTGTTCTTTTTGCTGCAATGTACTAAGACTCTAAAAGTTGCTAGTGTGTATTTTTAATAAATAAGTAAATCTGTTACAAATTACTTTCTTGTATTCATATTCACCCAGGGTACCACTACAGTATGAACAATAATTTGTCATTTATTTAAATTGTCATGTTTTGTTTCGCAAAAGTAAGTTTCTTGATCTGTAACATATGTGCCATGTTGCAAGGGGAAAACAAGACTATTTGGAGCCAAATCATATAACAATTTTAGTCTTTTGTTTTTAACATGTTGAGTCTATCACCAGAGGAATGGTTCAAGCAGTACTCCCGGAGAGTTAGTCAGGGATACACGCACTGGTTAACCCTTTATTTTCATCAGTAGATGAGTAAGGCACAGGCAGCTCTTAAAAGGAGGTGGTTCTCCTCACGCCTTCTTGCCTGTTTGTGCCCTGACTGGGCCAGCAGTGGGGGCCACTGGACAGCAGGTGCTGCTTTTTTCACATCTTCACCAGTAGTCCATGGGGTTCAGGAGATATCCACCAATTTCCCATGTACTTTAAAGTGAATTAAGATGACTCGATGTATAGTTATACTTGTTTTTCTGAAAGGGTACACAACACAGGATAAAATAGAAGCAGTACATAAATAAACCTTAGCCTTAAAAAAAGTCATAAAATGACTGTTTTAAACTGGTTTTGCTTATCAGAGTCCAATTAGTTAATAGTAATTTGATATCCACATGTCTATCACCTGGTAAGTTGGTCAACTGCATCAGCTGATGAAGAAAATTTTGCCTAATTTGCATACCTTATTAAAAAAAATCGGGGGGGGGGCGTTGACAGTGGTCAAATTTTTCCCATCGATTGGCAGGAGAACATGATTGACTTCCTTACCAAGTAGTTTCATGAGCATCATTATAAGCTGCAATTTGTCTGCTTGTTGTGATTGTCCGCTTCCCTCTTGGATCTTCTAGCAAACTACAATACAATCACCACACTTGTTCTTCCTTTTTATTTCACTTTGCTGGTTTTTCTTCTTTTTGGATTTGGCAGGTGACCTGCTGGCCTTTACTAACCTGTAAACTTTGTTGGAGTTTGTGAAGTGCTTTTTCTTGATTCTGCAGTGATCTCTTGCTTTAAAAGTCGCTGTGGCCATAAACATCTCAAGTTAGGGCTGTTGTCAATAAATTACCAAGCTTCGCTTATATAGTGCCTGCCACATCGAGACCATTTTTTTAATTTTGAGAGTTTGGATGGCTGGATACACTTTATCAGTAGTGTTGCTTTCTGATGTGCCTAGGTTTCATATGGCTTGGTGTCTGGATCTGGGCAGCTTCAGGGCTTCTCCTGCTGGCCAAATGGCAGAATAACAGCCCTGGTGGTTGCAGGATTGGTCCCATACGCCACTGCAGCTGCCAGGGCCTTCATGAACGCCACCTGGGAGTCCTGGAGGAAGAGCACTTTAAGAAGTGGCTCGTCCCTCCAAAAGCTGTTTCAGTAGTATCGGCCTTCAGTGTGTTAAAGCTCTCTGTGGTGTCTGGATCCTGTCTGTTGTTCCTGCACCTTGATTCTGTACCTGGAACTTGTTCCAAAAGTATTCCTGCCTTCATGCTATTGTTTTGGCTCCCAATCTCTGGCTTGTTTTGACTGTGCTTTGCTATCTGGACTACACTTTGTTTACTTCTGTGTTTGCACCTGGCTTGACTTTGGCTGCCCTGGATAACGCCCTGGATTTGACTGGTGACTGGACTGTGGTCATGTAGTTTCTAGACTGTATGACCTGGGCCCTGGTGCCTCTGCTTAGCTCCCTGCTGCCCACAGCCCAGCCCTTACACTTGGTTATGTCAGGTGTTATTCCAGAGGGAGGCAACATCATGCTTCTGGGCATCAGCTTGCCCTGGACATGCCTCTTGGTACACACTAAGTGGCCCACCCTTCTTGCTTTGTGGAAAGAAAATTAACGCATTTCTTAGCAGCACCTGGGATTGCTGTGAAACTGGTGCTGAAAAGGGTGGATTCAAGAGAGATGCTGGCCCTGCCTCTGCCTTGCAGGGGCAGAGATTTCAGGGCAGGCTATTTGCCCTTTGCCATGCGCCCATGGGAGCCATATTTGGGCGGTGCCCAGGACCATTTCTGGTTACCTGAAGGAGCATCTCCTTCCATATGTGCCTGCCTGCCCCTTAAGATATTGGGCAGATGCCCTTCTCTGGGAGCCCTCCTTGAAGGAGATTAGGAGGGTGATTACCTGGAGAAGGGCCTTCTCTGTGGTGGCACCCCGATTGTGGAATAAACACCCCAGAGAGGTTTGCCTTGTGCCATCACTTTATTCTTTTTGGCGCCAGGCTAAACCCTTTTTATTTTCCCAATATTTTAAGGTTTGAGTGTTATTTTAATATGGGTTTTAGCATTGACTGGTTAAGAATTTGATTAGGATGCTGTGTTTTATTTTATTTTTGTCTTACTGTTAAACCATCCTGAGACTACAGTAAGGGAGGGGCTAAAAAGTTTTAAATAAATAAATAAATCTCTCAAATTGCCACATGTGCCCACCAGCCTCAACAGGGGTATCCTGTGACCAGTGATGCTCTATAGCATTAGCAGCTGTGCTTTGTGCTCCCCACTTTATATATTGAAGCTGGTCAGACTGGCAGGTGGATCTTATTGACCACATCCTTCACCACATCTAAGGGCAATAGGCTAGCATGAGGGCAGGGCAGGACACTTGCACAGTCTCCAGGAAGACACCCTGCCTCTGAGCACCCAGTGCCTGAGGCAACTTACTTACTCTGCCTAATGGTAGGGCCCCCACTGGTCCTGTGGCTCAGCTCAGAACCATCCCCTTTCCTTTAGATCTTCAGGCAAACGCCCCTGAGAAGGTGGGAGCTCAATGGGCGAATCAGCCTTCTTTTTTCCTCCTTTGAATACCCTTTGGCAAGATCGGGTGATGTACTCTCCAGTGGGCAGTTCCATCCCGAGGAAAGCTGGCCTTGCTCTGTTGCTGAGGCCAGCTGATGTCAGTTGCATGCAACTGGGATGCAGCCATGAGGAGAGAGATGCCTAGGGAGACAGTGGGTACCCCCAGGGCTGGCTGCCGGTCTTCTCCTGTTGCCAAGGAGGGGGCTTCTATGATGGGGCTTTTATTTTTTTTAAATTCTACCCTATCTTTACCCATAATGGGTCTCAGAACAGCTTATGAATCAGTAATGGCACAATAAATTTCCAATTGCATAATAAGCCCTCAACCCTTGAAACAGTGGGTGAAGTTTTGGCCTGGTGCTGAAAGGATAAAGTGTAAGGGCCAGGCACACCTCTTGAGGAGCAGGTTTGAAAGCTGCGCACTCCCTGAGTGCTCTCTTCTGCCTCAGGTCTGTTTCCAGGTGGAGGCATCATGCTGACCAGCACCTGCTCGACTTTTATCCTGGAAGTTCCATTACCTTGGTCATGTGACTGGGAGTTGTGGTCGTATTTGCCTTGTGTTTGCTCATACCAGTTCACTCCTGGCAGTTTGATCCTCTGTTGCTTCCTTTATTTTAAATAAATGGAGTTTACTGTTTTGTTGTGCCCTCTTTGGGGGATCTGGTGCCCCAGACCAGTGCCCAGACCAGGTAGGAACTTGCAGAGGATGTGGAAAATGATCCAGCCATCCCTTTAACTCACCCAAAGTGAACAGGAGCTACTCTTGGTTTTAAAGACTGAATTACCTAACCCCAACATTCTTCACAAACTTTTCAGCTGGATACATGCATCATCTGCCCCCCGGGGTCCCCTTCACAACTCAAACAGGTTCTTGAAATGCTGCTGTGACCGAAATAAAATGGTCCTTGATCCAGTAAAGAGGAGACTATTAGGCTTCGCAGGAAGACTCTTATCAAAGAGAGACTGAATGCCAGATCAGGTTTTAAACACTATGCATGTAACATTTATTCTATGATATAAAGAATACAAAAGTATAAGAATACAAGCTCAGCAATCCTCAGCAACAATATCAAGAGGCCCCATTCACACTCGCATTCATCCAATACTCACACACGACCAATAGACCCTCCTCCAGCTTTGATCAAATGTTGGCAGGGACTGTGGGTGACCACTTGGAGCGCTGTCCTGGCACACACGGGAGAAGGAAAGCCCAGGCATTTTATGTCTCAAAAAGTTTACGCTATCAGCCAGCTCAGACTGGATTGAACAGTGAGCTCATTTGAGCAAGACACAGACGTAGCATGTGCTGGTCTTCCCTTATCTTGGAAAAACATGTTCACCACATCCCATTCTCTCTCTGGATGGTACAGGGTGGGCTTATCCTATCTTTTATGTTCCATTCTCCAACCACTCCTGGCTTTCGGTTTTGCTGTGCAAAAATACCTCAGTCTGGGTCAGTCCCATCATGCCCCTTGATTCTTCATTTTCTCTCTTAGGCCTTCAGGAACACTGTAACACTGCCTTATCCCCTTTGCCTAATTAAACTTGTCCACTCTGCTCAGGCTCACAACACATGCTTCATTCTCCTCAGTCTCTTTGTCATTGCATATGAATACCACACACAGCAATTTTACTAGGTTAAGTAAGCACAGATGGCCACAGCTGCAGACATCAGACTGATAAGTGCTTCCTCCCTTTTCCCAGGTGTCTGTCTGTGTGTTTGTGTTTGGTTCAAAGCGCACAAGGAGTCGTAGCAGATTAAGCCATAACCCTGATGCAGCCCAGATCATGGCCTCAAACCCAAGACCTTTCGGTGGAGCCTGTCCATGTGGTCACTTGCCCGCTTCCATGTGAAATAAACACACGACGCACAAGTGATCTTGCCAAGACAGGCATTTCTGGGTTCAGCACGTGTGTCAGCGGCTCAAGCCACTTGTCTCAAACAAACGATGAGTGTTTTATCCCTAATTTCCGCAGCTTGGGTACTGATGTGAGCTAGAAGAGAATTCCCTAGTCATCTCCTTCCCATGTGGCCTGGCCGCAAACTCTTCCATTCCCTATCATGCACTCAGTCCCACCCTGCTCTCCCAGTGCCACTTACCAGGCTGAAGACACCAGCTCTTCCCCCGCACTGCTCCCCTCGCTGAGGCCTGGCCTGTTGCGAGGTCAGGATGAGGTAAGCATGCAGAACTGGAGCCTCTTTTCTCTGTGGCAGCACTTGTTAATGTGCATGCAGAGGAAACTGATGCGACAGAGTATCACCATCCTCTTCCCCACCCCCCCTGAGGCAAAATATTCTGCCCTTAACATGGTCCAGCAGCCTTGCTTGCCACATACCTACTCTGGCCACCAGCTGTTCCCTAGTGCCCAGGCCATAGTGCAGAGCCCTTTGTATGTTCATATTTCTTCAAGTACTCCATTCTGTTTTGTTGGGTATATATGCCAAATTGCTGCAAGGTGGAAGGCAGAGATGAAGACTATTGTTTTTAGTTTTTGAGCTGGAAAATCCGTTCAGCATTTGCAAAAACACAAGTGTCCAAGCTCTGTTCAGGTCACCCCTGTTGTAACAGAAAGAATATACTTTTGAGAATGAAATTAAAATCTAGGGGGAAAGAGTAATCATGCTGTTGTACAAAAGCATTGCATGGAAGCATATAGGAAAGGGAAACGCAGGAAAGAGAGATTACCATGCAATACTGAAAAGAGGCTATTTGTTCCGAGGTACCAATGGCAAGATCTCCTCCCCTGTGAGTTAACCCCACCTTCCTCTCTTGCACAAGGCTATTTTGGGCTGGCAGAGTAAGCCAGAGCTCTGACAGATGAGCACGCTGTAACACAACACAGCACCGGAGCACTTGTTACTCCCATGAACTTACAAACTGCAGCAATTTCTCCTTCCTCATTCTTTTCATTCTATTTTTTAATCCCTTGATTTCTTAACTAGGGAATAATTATTTTTTGTGCTAGTGGAAGCTTCAAAAAAGTACAGCAGTGGCTTAGAGGAGATGAAGAAAACATTGTAAACACTTTTCATAGAAGGAGGTCTGGCTGCTGTTGAACTGGAAGCTTCCGTTGTTTGATGGTGTAAGGAGAGCACCTCCTCACCTGTGGAGGCCAAAAATGACGGACTCGTCTCCTGCTAATGGGGAAGGGAAGGACCCTGAAATTGAGCTCTTTGTAAAGGTAGGTGAAGCCTCAGACTAGCTCCCTCTTGGTGGCTGGGCTTCTATTTAATGCACAGAATGTTCCTGCTACTTGGCTGGGCCGACTTGAACAGACTGGGATGTGCCTGCATTTCCATTTTGCCCTTTTGCTGATACTAGGATTCATTTCATGCCCTTGTCTGCTCCCTGCCGTCTGCCCTCATCTTTGTTGTCTACAGTGTCATGTCTCACTCTGCCAGGCATGGCACACAGAACTGTACTTTCCTCTTTGCATTGTGCAGTGGATAGAGGGTCACATCCCAGAAGCCTTCAACAGCACACAGATCTGCCTGTGGAAGTATGATATCGGAAAGCTGCCTCTCTTGCGTTTACATCTGCAGTCTAGCACCTTTCAGGGTAAACTTTAAAAAGCAGCCCAGATTTGTTCCCCCAGAAATTGGTTCTTACCTGTACCTGTGAACCAGCTTGATGGTGCTTCTTGAATCTCAGGTCTGATTACTGCATGCTCAAAAAGTGGCATTTGAATGTGTGATGAGACTCACTGAAGAGGGGAAGTGCATGCTTCCTTGGTAGCAGGGTATCTTTGCTGTCCTGTTCACACATGTGAGCCATCGCTCATGGTTGCACTCATTAAGTGATGAAACCTGCAAGCAGCCAGTCAGGTGTAGATGCATAGTGTGTTTAACAGATTTTGATCTCACTTTTCCAATAAAATGTCTAGGTGACTTAAATGCCAGATGTATAATAAAACAACAATGACAGGAAGAACAAACATGTGCTCATCCAGAATACAGGGAAGGTGTGTAAGCTTCTATTCTCTTCTTGGCATAAATCTGTGAAGGCAGTAAAATGGAAAGCTGCACAGCGCTTTCTCATTTCTCGCAGTGCTAAGGGTCATCTGTCCGGAAGCACCTCCAGGTTTGTTTGTCCTCTGGATGGTTCCGAACTATTTCCTCCAGGCTCACCGTGACTCCTTTGTGGAAAAGGAATTCCTTGTGCCTTAAAGAGGTCCACAGCACTGTGACACACAGAACCACCTTGCCTCACCTCCATTCTCCTGCTCCTTCCCCACATTTGTTCCAGCTCTGGAACATGGGAGATACACGCATAATGCCTCTGATCATATGTCTAATCGTATCGCAGCATCTGGCACCTGAAGCAGGCTGACTCATCTTCAGGCTGGTCTGGTGTTAAATCATCCCCTTTGTTAGCAGATACGGAAGCAGTGACCAGGGGAGGTCCGAAATGCAGCTTCTTTTGTATTTTGTGGTGTGTTTGTATGGGGAAGTAGTCATTCATGTGGATCTCCATTTGCAGTCAGAAATTGTGCAGCTGAGACCCAGAGATTTACCATATCTAAAGGAAAAGATAAGATGCAAGGAGTGCACATGTTGAGTACTAAGTGTAAGTACAAAAGGAACTGTCAAGAGGTAACTCAAAGATGCACCCATATCTCGCATAACAAGGCAAGCTTCAGGGTCAGGGCATAGAGAAACAGGCGTGACCTTCTCTATTAGACATCCAAGTGCAGGAGGTACTTTTTGCCTAGGTTTGATTTTACTAGAATAATTCGGGATACGCACATGAAGAATCTGTACTAAAATAAGGAAGACTTTATCATGGAAAGAAGTAAGCAGATGTAGCCATGTGATTTACCTTTGATTTTAGTGCAGACTTATAGGCCGGACCCCTCCTTCCATTCCACATGCAACTCTAGACCAGTGAGACATTGTTTTATTGATATTCCATCTATCCATCATTCTCTGTAGACATGAGGCTGACTTTCCTTTGTCCTGCAAATGAACACAGCATGCCAAGAGTAGTGCTTGTAATGGGAGAAACACACAATGAATAGCCATTCTGCTTCATCATTCCCTTGGGTGAATGTGAGTATGGGGAACTCACAGATGCTCCCAGAAGAATGCGTCTAGTTCTTCCATCAAGAAGGAGCCTTTTGCCAAGAAGTCACTAAGGCAAGCAACCACAGCTTCAACAGCCTGCAATAAGCCCAGATCCCCCTAGTCAGATAGGCTGGCATGTGAGGCGGTGCGGGGAGAGTCTTCCTACTGGAAAAAAACGCAATTCGGCACCACCACACCTCATTCTCCTTTGGATGCCTACCAACAATAATTGCTTCAGTGTCAGCATGTGCAGCAGAGCAGGCAACAAGGAAACAATTAAGGAACAATTCACAGAGCTGGCTGAAAGGAGTGCCTGTTCAACAGCAGAGAGACAGAAGGGGATGAACCACGGTCATCTCTGAGCCAGCCAGCCAGCCAGCCTAGGATGGGGCGCTATATAGAGAGCTATGGGAGAGCACAGGGTTCACATGCACTGGGCCACCGTCTTCCGCACACATCTGAGTCGGTGCCATGGCAGGAGACGCGTGGCGTGGGCCACAGTCGCACTTAGCCAGCCCATACTGGGGCAAAGAAATTTGGAAGGTGAGTCACACTTTGAGGCACGGATTCCCTCTTGCTTACCTGAGCGAAGCATGTTGACTTTGTGTCTGTACATGGACTAGGGAAGAAAAAGCTTCTGTTGTATTTTGTGTCTGGGGTCCTGAGGTGGGCTACTTGTGAGGATTTTGAGAAAACCTTGGAACGATGCTCTTCCAGTATTGGCAATTTATGCACAGTGCTACCTTTTCAGTGCCAAGTACTTTTCCAGGAGAATGATCATCACCGGTGGCCCCCTGTGTGTCACCTGCCGCCATAATCTCATGCATCCCCATTCAGAAGTGAACTCCACTGAGTTCACTGGGGCTTCTTTCTGGAGAGCTATGGAAGCTGGCGACCTGTGGTCTGCAAGCATGGTCCAGGGGGGTGCATCCTGAAACCAAGAGAGAGCTTTCTTGTGTGGGCTTCCTCTACCACAGTGCTGAGCCTGGCTGCAGTGCTTGTCGGTCTTCAGAGGGGTGGTGAAGGAAGAGGGGGCAAGCACGCCTTCCTCACCTTCGGGTGCAATGGGAATAGCTAATTGGCACTATTGGTTTGCTGTTATAATTTTTGCTGGGGGCTGGAAGGTGCCAGGGAGGGTTGGACGGCAACGAAGTCCAGCTCCTCTTTTCTCTGCTCTCGATGCCGTCCATTTCTGGCTGGTATGTCTGAGCTCACCACCACCCCTGCCACCATCATATTTTCTGCACTGCCCAGTAACAGAAGCTCTCTGGGTGGTTTACAACAGTTCATAAATACAATAAAAGCTTTCAAAAATACAAAAATGTAAAAACAAAAACAGCTAAAACAATATATAATGGAGAGTGGACCTGCAAAACACCTGGGATGGGTAGTCCCTCAAGAGCCTTGATATCCTTGTATGCCTGTAACTGCCTCAGCATAAAGGGCTATTTTAACCTGACAGCTAAAAGCTGACCAAGTAGATACTGGGCAGGCCTCAGATGGCAGATTAGTCCATAGCTGTGTGTGTGTGTGGGGGGGGGGGGGGGCGGACAGCACTATTAAGAAAGCCATCTTCTTGTTGCTTCCCTTCAAGCTTCCCTTGGAAATGGCTCTTGGAGGAAGGTCTTGGGTATTGATTGTCCAGGTAGATTGTTGTGGGAAGAGGATGCCCTCAAGAATTATATAAAAGGGAAAGGAATGGAGGACTAAAACATAAGAGAAAGGGAAGGACAAGGAACAAGGTAAGGGGGCTAAACAATATAGCAGAACACCACCCCCAGTTCCCAAGTTGCTGCAGAATCTTTGGCATATCACCCTGGCAGGAATAAGAGTTGCTAAGCTTAGCTGACATTACTTAGGTGCGTCTCCCGAGAGTAGCAGTCCAGAAAAGCTGCTCCACAAAGCACCTTTGGTCTGTCCCAAGTTCAGAGGGAGACAAAAGCCCACCATCATCCTTCTTTTTTTAACCTCAGTCCTAGCAATGGGCTGCCAGCTAGCAGTCAGTCCTAGGCCTACCTGCCATTTCTTAGGGCATTTCCTGCCTAGGCTCCTATCCAGCTGCAAGCAAGTAACCAATAAAATGCTGTAAGAGCAAACCATTCCCTCCTCCTGCTGAGCCCAGGGAAAACAGCAGCTATTCACCCAACCCTCCCCACCAGGGACTAATCCTGACAGGGCAGGAATTGCCAGGGAGCAGCGGCAACAAATCTGAAAGCCCAACCATCTGTTTGAGTTGAGTTTCTATTTGGACCTTCCTAGTCGATCAGGTTGAGAGTCTGTGACAGACCCGAAGGCATCCAGTGAACTGCATGGCCCAGTGGAGACTAAAACCTGGATCTCCTGAATCCCAGGCCAAGGCTTCAACCAGTCCGCCACAGTGGCTGCTCTACCACAAGAAGTAGCAGTCTGCCTGGATCAAGCAGGTGGGCAGCCACACAGAACTGAGGAGACACTCCATTCACCACTGCTGCCATCCTCTGGGCATCTCCTGTGGGCTGCACAGAAATGGGCTTGTGTCCTTACCTGTTGGACGGTGGTCTGTGGAGGGCAAAAGGGGGCAAGCAAGAGGCGAGAACCCAGTCAGTCAGTGCAAGGTCTCTGGATCTGAATGCACAGCGTGGAACAGGTGCTTCTGAGGAAAAGGGCAAGAGAGGTGCCACTCTGCACCCTTCTGTGGCCCTTGCTTCAGTGTCTCTCCCCTGCTGGCCTGCCCCTTCTCAGCAGGGTGTTGCAGTGCAATTCGGCCTCTGAGGGCTGTTATATTCTGTGGGGCCAGATGATGATCCTTTACGGCAGGGACGAGGAACTCCTGGCCACCAGCTTCCTTGCCCAGACTCCATGGAAGTCCAGTCTCTCCCAGAAGACGTGCCAGACCTCCCTTGCTTCTCCCAAGGTGAGGTACCTTGAAGCAATGATTTCTGGAAGCTCTGCCTCCCTTTTACTTTCTCACTCTGCTTGGTTGCTGGGAGCAGGAGGCTGGTTTCGTTGATGTGCTTCAGCCAAGAGGGGTTCTGTGCTCTTCTGCACTGGATGCATGCAAGGAACATTGAGACCATTGGGATGGTCAGGTTGGGATGGTGTAACTGGTGCCCTGCATTGCCAGGGGGTTGGACTCAATGGCCATATTGGTCCCTTTGGATCTGTGAATTCTCCCCTTCACCTCTCTTGCTTGATCACTTGCGTCAGATTCTCTGCCCCCACATCTCCAGTTACAGGCATGGCTTCTGGTGCTGGCTGTGGAGGGCAGAGTGGCTTGCTTGTGCTCTTTCGGCACGTCTGTTCTGAGGCCGGGCCGGTCTGCAGCTCCTTCCCATCCCCATGTTCTAAGAGTGGGGCAGGAGGCCCCAGAGCTGGCACTGCCCTGGGCATCGTTGACTCCTGGGCGGAAGTGTCTCTGCTGCTGCTGGCTACTCGTCCAGGAGGCAGAGGGACAATGACACTTGCTCTAAAATTAGGGTTGAACAAAGTGCTCTTCTAAGGGTGTTTCAAGTGGAAGGGGTGGAAGCAGCAAGCTCTCAGAGAAGAAAGGTTTTCACCATGTGACTTTCTTAATTGCTGCTGCTTTCATGGTGCCAGTCAACTGATAATGCACCATTTTTCCTCTCAGGAGGGGGAAAGCAGGGAATGAGCTGGAAATAAAGGCAGATGCTGTGAGTTAAAAGCAAATGAAAAGAACAGAGCCCCTAAATGTTAGCGTGAGGAGAAATTGGCCAGGTACTTCAGAGACTGGCTCCCTGCTGCTTCTTTTAAGAGAGGTAAACAACAGAGAAGTTTGTCAGATATTTATTATGTTTTGTGTGTTGACTGTAATTGAAATCACGCTTCTCTTGGAGACGCAAAATCTTTTTCCATAAACTTTACATAGGGTTCATTTAGCTTTCCACATGTGGCATCAGCAAGTGACAGTTTAAGATGCCATGGAAACAAAATTGCCACTATTATAATGGTACAGCATTCTGGTCCATGGCTAACTAAAACAAATGTCAGGAATACTGTTCCTAACATTTGGCCTTTTGATTGAACAGAAGAGGTGTCCAGGCACCACAACCTGTGACATGCCATGCAGTCCAGAAAAGTTTCGTGGCCGCTCAGCAGGGCCTGCCTGGCCTGTGTAGGGAAGGAGGGATGAGGCCAGGCACCCGTGAGACCCCAAACGTGGGCTGGAGTGGCACAGGTGATGTGCAGACTGGACCAAACAACAATCATTTTATTAAGCAGAGATCATGAACACCTTTTCTTAGTCTTTCTCTCCCCACAAGGAGAGCAACGGATTACTGCAAATCCATGCAAGTGGAATTCTGCCATCACTGGCACTTCCTCTTCTTGTCTCGGAGGGCTGTGTGCTGAATCTGGAGATGGCCACTGGCTCCTCTTTGCCACCCCTCATGGCCGACTCAGAAGCTCTGCTTTTTCACCACCCTCCGTAATCCAGTGCAGCTTTACACTTGGTTGGTAGAGTATGCTCAACATACAGCTCTGTATCTTTATTAATAACTCAGAGGAATGGCATAAGGGAGCATGTAGTGACAAGCAGCTGGGAGAAGCCCAGAAGAAACACTGTGGCTACAATAACATCTGTTATATGTATACATATAGCATATAAAGAAGGATAGCTAAAAAGCACTGTGCCCCATTTGCCACCTGCACCAACTGGTTTTCCATGGCGCACAAAGTTATTGTGGGTGACAAGACACAGTGGCTTGTCGCGTTACATGAACCTGGACAGTTTTCTGGAGGCGGCTTATTCATGGGTACAGTGCCACCCTACCCAGTCAGGGCTTGCTTTAGGTTTTTTCCACCCATGATGGGTGGACGTGTTGTCTGAACCTGGGCAAACATCCACATCATGGGTGAAGGGATGTGGTGTGTGAGCCATTTGGCAAGAGCAGCAAGCCCCCTTTGCCGGCTTGCCAAGCTTGTGTGGGTCACTGTCAGTGCGAGCCACTGCACTGGTGCCCAAATGGCAGAGTGGAGCCATCATTGTTGGCTCCCTGCTGCGACTGTGAGTCCTTTTGCACCTTCTGCAGCCTTCCTCCTTGTTTGAATCATTTTCTTCCTCCTGCAGGGATAATTTTTCACTGTCTTCAATTTGACAGTGCTTGCACACATTCTCATTGGTCCCAAATTGCACGCCTCGCCTGGGCAATGTCTTGAGGAGGTTTTTGCTCAAGAGTGCAAACACACCTCATGTGTTTTGGCTGAGAGAGTGCCAAGAGCTTGGGCTTCTCCTGACAGTTGTCAAAAAGTAAGCTGCTAAGAGAAACCAAAGCCATGTTTACCCATAAGGAGGAGGGGGGCAAGTAGACTACACCCTTCATGTTGAGATCTTAGCTGTCAAAACTCCCATTCTTCTTAAAAGCTGCTTTAAAAAAAATCTCTCTTTGTTTATCTATACTTTTGACAGGGACATCTGTAGTAGTGCCTGCTGTGAAAGGGTCCAGGCGATGCTTGCTATTTTGGATACATGGAAGTATGCAAGTGTGCACTTGCGTGAGTTCACCTAAAATAAGTTGCACATGGGGTGCAGAAAGGCGGGGTGCCAAACTGATGGTAGTTTCCAATGTTTTGCTTGGCACCTTGGAGGGACTATCATCAACAGTTAAATGAAATTGCAAATAGTTATCTCCCAAATGAAAGAAGAAAATTTGGGGAAAGTATGGGGAAAAGCTGTGGCAAGTACAAAAAGGCATTTCTCATAAGCACTTTCTGTCTAGTGGTTCAAATGCAGAAGAAAAATTCACAAAGACTGCATACAGTCTACTCAGACTTCTATGAATCAGATAGGAAAGCACATGAGTAGGTTGTAGTCCTTCCCCATTGAAAAGCAACTTGTTCACTGGCAAACATTTTATGTTTTCTGCCCAAGATTTCAGTTTGTTCACCAAAGTCACCTGAAATGATCTTCAAGAGACTAATTCACCTGCCATTCTTAGGGTCTGGATGTTTGTCCCCATTTTAATGCAGTGAAACATTTACACTGGACCCCCACCCTGCAAGGCTGATTCCAGATCAGATGAAATGATTAATGAATGAAAAGAACTTTTCCAGTGCTGGGATCTCCAGACAAGATTACATTTAAGTAATTTTGGTGCTTTTCTGGGTACCAAGTTGTGCGGTAAATGCTTGATCTCCAGAACTGAAACTAGCAGCCATTTAGGAATGTTCATACAAAAAGAATTTGTCCAAACAAGTGTGGATCCTTGGAAAATATTTTCAAAGTGTTATTGCCATAATGAACCAGGGATTGGAATTCATATTTAAGTATAGAATAGTGTAACCCTGAATTGATCAAATTCCAAAATTTAACCTTGTCATTTTGTCTTGCAATGAATCACAGCTTTATCTACCTTTGCCTGATTGACTCAGCTTTTTTCATTTTCATTGGAGACTGACAAGAAGAATTAGAGAAAAGCTATGGGTAAAGCCTTTCTCATTCTTTTTTCAAGCTCCTGCATTCCCTGTCATATCAGTTGTCTCTGGTTGGACAGAGGGCAGGCACAGGGTCTGATTGTACTGTTGTCGTTACCTAACATCATGGCATCTCCAGTTCATGGCAACTCTAGAATGAAAGCCCTTCAGGATGTCCTGTCTGTGACAGCACTGCTCAGCTGTTGCTAATTCAAGGCTGAGGCTTGACTTCAAGATTATAGACTCAGTTCATCTCATATGGGTCGTCCTATTCTTCTGCCTTGACTTTCCCTAGCGCTATTGTCTTCTCCTGTGAATCTTGTCATATGATATGCCCAAAGTTTGACAGCCAAATATTGAACAGACAGGGACATAAAATGCATCATTGTCGGGGAAAGCATTCTGTTTCTCCATCTTCATTCCATGATTCAGGTTTCATATCAGGGCAATAAAGTGCTGAGGCACACTCATTTCTTTCAGGATCATCCATAGCTTCTAGTGCTGCACACAGTCAAAGACTTTGCTGTAGATTATAAAGCATAGACTAATTTTCTTTTGAAATTCTTTTGTGCACTTCAGTAGGCAACCTATATTTGCAGTATGATCTTGAATGTCTCTTTCTTTCCAGAATCCAGCTTGAACATCTGGCATTTCTTGCTCCATATAGGGCAATATTCTTCGTTGCAAACTTGAGCATCGCTTTGCTGGCATGGAAGGGTAGAGCAATGGTCCTATGGTTGCTACATTCTTTCACATCTCCTTGCATATCAAATGTTTCCAGTCTGCGTGCCATTGCTTTGTCTTCCATGTTTGTCAGCATGTTCTTGTTAGGATTTGGATTCTGTAGTTCAGAATTTTTCTGTCAGTATTCTAACTGTTCTGAGCGCTTTATTCCTCCCAAGCACTTTCAGAGCACCTTTCTTGTCATTTTCTAATATCGCAGCTGCTTCCTTATAAGATTCCTCTTCAAAGGAGTCTGTATAGTTCTTCTGAACAGTGTTTCTACCTTCTCTTTATTTTATCCTGGTTAGATAGTAACCCTGCATTCCTAATCTAGGTTTGGATTTCCCTTGGATTTCCTGGCTCTTCTAGAAGTGGTATCTTGTTTTAATTCTTTATTTCTTTGCACTAGTCATTGTTATAGTTCTTTTTGTCTCTATGTGATAGTCACTGAAAAGTTTCATTCAGGAGTCTGACCTGATTTCTGTCAATGTTTACTTTTGCATCTTGCCTGTCTGTGTTTCTTCTGTCACACATCTAGGCTTTTTCTTTACTTTTGCTACAGGAATTATCTTTTGTCATTCTTCCTCAATGATATCTCTGGTTTCAGTTGATAATTCTTCTGAAATATAGTCAACTGAGTCTCACATATTGGCACATGTTCCTTAAAAAAGGTAGGATCTGCTGTGCAAATCTCATTTGGTCAATGCCCATGGAGGTTATCTACTGCACCTTGACAACAGTCTTACCAGGATGTTAGCCAGGTAAGACTCCACATTTTGTGCAACAGAAAATGCTTGTTGCATGCCTGCAAAAGACAATAAAAATACAAGGGCAGTTGTGTACAATTCTGCCACCCTGCGTGTGTGCAGATGTGCACATATTTAAAGGGTAATAATTTAGTTATGGTCACTTCAAAGCACTACTGAGGTATCAATGGAGAGGCTGGCACTGCTGGCTGTTCAGGCAAGGTCACGAGAACACCAAGGGATTTTGGGAGCTCTTGCCAAGTGGCTTGCTCACCACTTCCCACAACCCACAATGGAACTGGTCTCCTGAGTTTGGATGAAAAGACAACTCTGTGAGTTTAGCAATCTCTAGAGCAAACTACGTTATAGGAAATGGTCTGACTTCCGATGACACAGCAAAGCTCCATGGCTACCCACCCACCATGGTTTGCCATGCCACACAAACCCAGCCATTGCTTTTTTGCTAAAACTACTGTGGTTTTTCTCTGTAATTTTTATTGAGATCTATCGATATTTCTTTTCTGCTGCTGCAATTTTGGTTTTTAAAAT